AAGACGTGTGACCTGAAAAAGCCACTGTCGAAGAAGAAACTCTATTGGGTTTTGAGAAGGGAAACAGTTGTTACGACAGCAGAGGTCACGTTACGCTAGTAACACGTCATTTTCTCGAAGCCTCGTGAATCCTCGGGAGGTTACTAGATTTCGGTATTCTTTTATATATAAGACGGTCAAGACGTGACGGCAACAATGTAATGCTGTGTAATTGAACTGCGGACAGAGAGAGACGTATCGTTGAGCACGTGAGACGTTTGTTGTGAATTATAGCGTTTGTTATATCATGACCGTGGAAATTAACTGTAATGCAAAGTTGTATTTAGAAAGAATAAACCAGTTTTATTTAAGAAAGGACTTGTGTCGCTAAAGTTTCTTCAGAAAGAAATTATACGGAAAATTAACTAACTATCAGAGACGTAACAAATTGGTGTCAGAGAGTGGGAATAAAAAAAAATGGAAACGAGAAGCTGCAAATCAAACTACAGTATAGCAGATTTGATGGCAGCAATACAAGAACAGCAAAAAAACAAGAAGAACGAGAAGAGAAGCAAGAAGCGAAATTACGGCAGTTCTTGGAGGAAAAAGAAAAAGCAAGAAGAGAAATTACAGAAGTTCTTGGAGAAAAAAGAAAAGAAACAAGAAGAACGAGAAAAGAAACAAGAAGAGAGATTACGGCTGTTGTTGAAGGAAAAAGAAAAGAAACAAGAAGAGAAATTACAGCAGTTGTTGGAGGAAAAAGAAAAGAAACAAGAAGAGAGACAACAGCAGCGGCAAGAAAACCTGCAACAGTGGCAGCTCACACAGCAAAATAAACAAGAGAGACTACAGCAGTGGTTGGAGAAGAAAGAAAATAAACAAGAAGAGATATTACAGCAGTGGTAACTGGAACAAGAAAGGAAACAGAAAGAAAGTCTCCAACAGTTACAGGAAAGTCAGCAGCAACTACAGACAGATGTAGAGACGGACAATTGAGTCGGGCGCGTGTGTCGTTCGTTGTGAATTATAGTATTTGTTTAAGTTATAGCGTGACTGTGGACATTAAGTGTATTGCAAAGTTGAATTGAGAAAGAATAAACTAGTTTTAGTTAAGAAAGGACTTGTATCGCTAAAGTTTCTTCGGAAAGAGTTTTTACGGAAAATTAACTAACGACCAGAGACGTAACAATATCTTGATGTTCTGAGCGTTTGCCCAACATTTTCTATTCCTTGTCTATTGTTAAGGTTGATGCACACAGCAAAAGATTAGTCCAATTATATAGTAACTTTTCTTATTACATACGTTTTGGTCAAGTTATTTAGTTGACTGAAATGTCTTGACTAATATAATAGTTACATGAGAAGGTCGGAAAATTAAAAATCCCAGTCATTATTTCTTCTATCAATGGGACTGATCTAACAACTTATGTGATGTGGCATTCTGGGAAGTTCTGGTGAACTTAGAATTGAATATAAACTTAAAGAAAGTTCCGTAGAATTCACCTTGTTTCTAGTGTGAAGTGAACTCAGTCAGAGTTGCTTTTATTGCAAAATGAAACAACTGTGACCAATCTATATTTCTATAGAGTTGATTTATTCAAGCTCTGCATATATATACCTTACAGTCTTCTCAGTAATATGTTGGTTCAGTTTTACCTGAGAGCTCCCAAAACAAATGGGGATGGCCAGGTGGTTAAGGAGCTCGACTCGCAATCTGCAGGTCGCGGGTTCGAATCCCCGTCCCACCAAATATGCTCGCCCTTTCAGCCGTGGGGGCGTTATAAGTGACTGTCAGTCCCACTATTTGTTGGTAAAAGAGTAGCCCAAGAGTTGGCGGTGGGTGGTGATGACTAGCTACCTTCCCTCTAGTCTTACACTGCTAAATTAGGGACGGCTAGCGCAGATAGTTCTCGTGTAGCTTTGCGCGAAATTCAAAACAAACAAACACAAATGGGGTATTTTACTGACATTTTAAAATATAAGGTTAATTTGATATTGTTTTTAGTTGTTTATTTTTCTAAACCAAGCAGTAATAACACCATAATTGGAATATTAAATTAAGCGAACTTGGATTTTACATCAATAACTTCGTTAGGTATAGATTTTATTTATGTGCATACATATTCATTATGTTATTTTTGAAAGAATAGCATGATGTTCTTCTTCCCGTTTCTGCGTATCATAGTTTTCTGTACAATTTAGCGGTGCGCACAAGTGTGTGAAAAACAACAAAAACAGTGATCGTAAAGTCATGTTATTCGAGTATGGCCTAGTGGTTAGTGCGATCGGTTTGCAATTGGCGGGTCGAAAGTTCAAATTCCATCACCAAACATGCTCGACCTTTCGTTATAAAGACTTGTATAGCCTCACGTTTATTTGATAAAAAGAGGAGCCAAAGCTTTAGCAATGAGTGGTGTTGACTAGATCATAGATGACTTTCTATCACTCCTAAATTAAGGACGGCTAGAGTAGCTTTGCGCGAAATATATTATTTGAATATTGCTCTTTCAGTATTTCAATCTTAGTAATTTGATGTTATTCATTTTATTATATACGTCATTGAAAATAAATATTCTTCACCTGAAAGTAAATTTTTACGATTGCAGTTGTTAAATTGGGCCGGAATAGAGTTCCGCCCCTTTCTTTTTTTCAGATCATTAACGGTCCTCGTCGTCTGATTGAAAGAAAAAGTGGCGTTAGTAGTCAGAAAGTAACCCAAGGGAAATTTTAAGGCGTGCTTAGTTCTGATATAACTAATATAAGTCTCTCGCTGCTGTAAGGCGAGTTGCGACTGAAAGCTCATTGGGAAATGTATCATGTAGATGTGATTACAATTCACATTGATCTCTGGATTCTTACGAAGTAACACAGACAGAATCCAATTATTTTCGAACCTGAAATAAGTATCAACAACATAAAAGTGAGTAAAGAAATATATTCATAATCCTGTGCGTTTTATTCTAAATCATATGAATAAATAATTATGTATGAAAATGAAAATATAAATTAAACATGAACTTTATACATTCTTTTAGTTTTGCTGATGTTAATACTAATAGTAACGAGTAATACTAGTAACAGCACCGGCTCCCTTTTCAGCCATTACAAATTTTGTACAATTCCATTAGAAACTTTATTATTAAGTTTTACTTTTGATATTAGAAATAAACGATCTTATATTATTTAATTAGACACCAATGCTTCGAAACTTTGTAATTGTACCGTCAGTTTTGGTTTTTGTTTTACTCTAGTAAACGCTCCAGAAGAAGCTGTAAAGCGTAACGCTGATTGTTTAATTAAATAAAAACTTTTTGGTGTTATAAATATAAGGTCGTATATTTCTACTATTAATGTGTTCTATACATCAATATGCACTACAGAAATTAAATAATACTTTGGCTGTTGTGATAAGCGTAGTAAAAAAATACTGTAAGTAATACTAGAACTCAGAAGTAATAAATAGATGCTTTCCAATATGTAATTCCTCCACGCAGTAAGCATCGTTAAATTAGTTTCGTGCTATCAATTAGTCGAATTGTATGCTAATGATACGTATTTTATTTATTGTTTTTTTTTGTCGTATAAGCTGTAGTATTTTGCCACAAGCTATTTAACATCATACATTTATTGACCGTCAATAAATTGAATAATACATTATTAATTTCTTTTCGAACTGTTTAACCTGTTAGTGTTATACTATTAGTATTATTAGTAATCGTAGTAGTAGTAATAGTAGTTTCGCACTGTAAGTTACTTAGTTAAAAGTCTTTTACTTACACAGATGCCATGAGCAGATTACTTTTGCTTGTTTTAAGGTTCACTTTCACTGTTTCAACGTAGTTAAAACAAGATATTGTTTGTATATTCTTACCCTTTTTATTCTTGGCTGAAAATATTTCAATTTCGTATCTAAAACATAAACTTCATTAGTTAAACTAGGGTACAGAAATTTGGTTATATTTGAAGAACATTGGTAATGGGAATTGTTTTGAAATTCCAGGGTATAAGTGGCTCTTTCTATATCATGGGATGGGAGCTGCAAGTGTTAAGAATGAAGACATGAAAAGTGGTGGGTAAGAGGATGAATTTATGTGGTCTTTGATTGGCAGTTGTTATACTTATAGACCATCTGAACAAGCAGATGGCATAAATATGAAATTATATAGTGAGACCAGGCTTGCTAATAATAAGAATACTGAACCAATAAAACGGGAGACTAATTTTTAACACATTGGTTACAATTGTATGTATTATACAGTTGCCACAGTATAATTAGGGTAACATTTATGGAAAAGTGATTATTGCATAAATAGGTTTGAATGTTTTGCTATTGTTGAGATAAAAAATAAATGTAATTTTAGTTCCTGGTTTTCAGAATGCTACTTTTCAGGCCATTATACAAGATTTATCAGTTATAGGGATAATGATCGAGTTAAAATATGATTTGTTACAGATTTAGGAATTTTAAGAAATAACTTTCTTTTAATTCAAGATAGGAAAAGAGGAAAAGGATAACAGGAAAGATCAAACTAAATTGTATTACTTAAAATATACAAGAGAAAACCATGAATAATTGCCATAAGTTTAAGAAGTTTAAATTGACAAGTAGTTTGGGAGATTTACAGTACTATGGGGAAAATAGTGATTTGTTTTTTTTTAAAGAAATTCAAAAAGGCTAATGAGAAACATATGGCTGATAATGTTAAAATTTAGGACTTTTTTTAATATGTTAAAGGTAAAAAAAATGCTAGAATGGGGATTTAGCCTTTAATTAAAGAATGTTGATGGCAATGTATTTGTTGAAGATTAAGATGGCTGATGTTTTAAATGTACTCTTTTTGTTTTTACAAGGGAAGATATTAGTAATAGTCCTAATTCTTCAGGAGCATTTTGCTAAAACACAAACTGCAACTGTGGTTTGTGATTTAGTGAAATGCCCTGAAAAAGCTGTAAAGCAAAATGTTGATGTCAAATTCAAGAAAAATAAGAAATTTGGTGTTATAAAGTCATTTATTATTAGCATTAATATGTCTTGTATGCACCAATATGCACTACAGAAATTAAATAATGTTGTAAATCTTGTTTTCAAAGCATTATTTTTAATACTTATGGTAGTAATCAATCATGAATGGTTTCTTTGTACACTAAATTTTTCAACTTTGTTTTTATCTGTCTCCCTAGCCATTATCATGAGGATGCATATGCATCTTTGAAAATGAGAATTGAATTTAAAGGGCTTGAAAGTGCTTGAAAAAGGGTCTTTTTTTGCAAAAGAACCTGAAAAGTACTTGAAAATATTATAATAGCAGAATATATATATATATATATATATATATATATATATATATATATATTGATATGTTTGACTTTAATGCATGTTGCAGAGTTGAGTGCAATAAATAGTCTTTCTTTTCTTTTTTACTCTAAATTTGTATGTTGAACAAATAAACAACATGGAATCTGATTGATTCAGTGGAATCTGATTGATTTAGATTTTAGCTTCCAAAAAGTGCTTCAGAAACATTCTGAGAGTGCTTAGAAAGTCCTTAAAGTGCTTGAAATTGATCTGAGCAATTTGGTGTGAACCATGTATCATACTTGTGTGTTATGTAAATATGGTTTGAAGTGGTATTATATTAGTCATAAAATACATTTTTTATGAACTTCATGTAGGATCCATTTAAGTGGATTAAGATTTATGTTTCTAAATCCATTTCTTATTGTACTGATTAGCTGTGTTGACATTAAGTCATGCATTCTGTTATTAAAAAAAGTATGCTACAAAGGTTTCTCAAATTTTTGAGGAGACTTCTTTTGAATGTAATAGCTATTGTTTATGAAAAATTAGTGTGAATAACTTTTAAAGGATTTTCATATGTGGATCTTTGGTATTTCCACAATGTGTGTGTGTATATAAACTGATTTTAAGGCATCATTGTAGTTAATTTTGGGGATCTTTTCCATTTGGTGCCCACCAACAGTACAAAAATGATCTTTTCTGTGGAAAGCATATAGCAACATCCCAAATGTGAATAGTTATTTTACCACCATAAAACTGTAAATCACAGTGAAAATTTAGTAGATCCTAAAACTTGCAGTCATACCCAAAATATTGAAAGTATATGGCACAGTTTAAAGCGAAGAAATAAGCTTTAATGTGGAAATCATCACCAAATGGTTGACTCTTATCTCTGTGAATTTATATTTAGAAATAGAAACAAAGATGAAGATTTATTCAAAAAAATATTGTTTAATATCACCAAATTTGCTAAATAAATATCATATAATGTTTTTTTTATTAATTATTTTATTTCATTGCATTACTTAGATTCATTTGGAGTTTAAACAATACAATTTTATATTCATGTTTCTAGTGAAAATGGGCCCAACTGCTTTCTATCATTTGGCAAGTTCACAAAAAACCAGTTTTTCAGTAGGAAGTGGTTAATTTGAGGTTATTGACAGAAACTGCGTAATTATTTATGCTGCTTGGCCTTGACTTTTAAGGTGAGTTGGAGGTATTAGAAGGGTTTTATTTTTTTTCTTCTTTCACGCTGTTGTCAATTGATACTACACATGGTACAAATGTATAAGGTAAAGCAACAGCCAAGGTTTTATTATTGCAACTATTTCATTATGAGACGGATCATAATTAAACAAGTTTTAGACAATTTCTTACACTGAGATAAAAAATATTAGGAAACTTCATTTTCATGTGCAGATTGGAATTATTAAATTTGACTGACGGTGCTAGAAGATTAAAAATTCTCTATTGTAGTAGATTTAATACAACTTTTTCTTTTTTCAACATCTAGGGGAAAAATGATTCCTTTTTTTATTATCACATACTATGTGTAATGGCTGGATAGTTGTTATATTTCAAAATGCCCTACTATTAGTATTTAATCAGTAAACCTTTCTACCCATATGGTTTTCTTTAACCTATTTGTAAAGGTTTATGCATTTTCAGAGGTGCTGATGAGATAATTTCTTTAGACTCTTGAAGTTGGATCCTAGTTTAAAAACTTACACAAAGTTTCATTTGTAGATTTGAGACTATAAAAGAAATGTATGAGGACAGATATATGTAGTTCATGATTAAATGTTTCAGTGGAGTTGTTTTTTACCAGCTTGACAAAGGAAATTCTGGTGTTGATATCTTCTGTTACATTAAATCTGTTACAAAGCTGAGCATATAAACATATGTACGATACATATTTTCTTGTTGCACACTAAGAATATTAAGTCGCAGCCAAATGTAATGTGTTGAGAAATATTTATATGGATTATGTTTGGACTTCAACAATTGTGAAGTAAGTTAAAAGAAATTAAATGCATATGCATGTTTTTTTATGTGTATTCAGAATATTTTCATAATTGGAACTTAGATACTTTTTGTGTTATGCCTTAGAAAGATTATTTGCACGCAGAAAGATGCCCTCCACAGTGTAGCGTTTAATAAACCAAATAATTTACATGATAGAAGTCTAATTTAATTGCAGTTATGTTAATTTGATATTAAACATATGTATTGCTGCAATATCTGAAATTTTTATTAAAATGGATATATCTCACTTTTAACAGGTAAATTTACTTGAAATGCAAAGTTTTAAACAAAGAAAACAATGCTCCTGGCCAGAGAAAGTTGGCATCATTGACATGGAGGTATACTTCCCTTCTTTATATGTTGACCAGGAAGAGTTAGAAGTACATGATTGTGTCTCTCGTGGGAAATACACAATTGGTCTTGGTCAATCCCAGATGGGCTTTTGTTCTGACAGAGAAGATGTGAACTCGCTTTGTTTGACTGTAGTCCAGAGACTTGTGGATCGGACTAAAGTTGGTTATAAGCATATTGGCCGCCTAGAGGTTGGCACAGAAACAATTATTGACAAGTCTAAAAGTGTGAAGTCTGTACTGATGCAACTGTTTAAAGATTCTGGAAATACAGACATTGAGGGAGTGGATACCACAAATGCCTGTTATGGAGGAACAGCTGCTCTTTTTAACTCTCTATCATGGGTTGAGTCTAGTGCATGGGATGGTAAGTTTGGATATACATATTTCATATATTTTTATTGGCATATTCAGTAATGAGCGAGTATTTGTCAATATAATATATTAGTTTAGTTACACAGATAATATCTACTGGTGGATTGTATGTGAATAACTAGTCTTTAGGAGGAGAATATTTAATAGTATTAAGTGTTAGAAGGTAACTTACTTTACAATGTCTGTGTTATGTCTCACTATTATTGATCATTGCTGTGTACAATTTTCCTTTCACCTAACATTGTGTCAAAATTATTTTATTTTCAAACTTCAAGAGTAATGTACAAATGGCTTTATTTATTATACTCCAAATATTTATCAAACTATTTTGTTTTTTCTGATTAAGGTAATGAGAAAGACAATTTTTTTTAGTTCTGAGGGTTAGACGTTAATTTAAGTGAAATAATTAGTGATGTTTTTTTTATTTTCCAGCCTGTATGTATCTCTCCTTCTCTAGTCAAATATTTAAAATACCTAAATGAGCTTTTATTTTTTTGACACAGTGTAGTAAAAGAAATATTAAAGAGAGTATTGATTTTCCTGATCAACAAATGTGCTGGTCTGTGATTGGCTAAAATCCAACTTTTTAAGAGGGTGTGATTAGTTAAAATCTAACTTTTAAAGAAGGTGTGGAGTATAACTCTAGGAAATCAACTGTAGACCCCCTCAGCTGCTGTTTCGTGTGATTTGAACTTCACATTCTTTTGCATTACAAGATAGGTGTATACAATAATAAGCTAAGACAAAAATAATTGTACTTTGATTTTGTGTTTGAAATGAAGACATTGAAACCTAAACATCTCAGTATTTTAACAGTTTGAAACATTAAGAGTTTATAGTTCCATTATTTTAATTTAGATGTTTGCTAGAGGGCACATGGTATTAATATCAAGTAAGTTCATAAAAGTAATCCCAGGATACCTACAATGTTTTAGAACGTTAATGATTGAGAGGCTTTTCAAAATATCTAGAAACAAGAATAAATTGTATATGTGAGAATCGATGATGATAGTGATGATTGAGTCAGTTTTGTTTGCTGAGTGATTGAGAGGCTTGAAGTATTCAGATCAGTGTTAATTATTGTGTATATTCAGTTATTCAATCAGTTACCATGAAATTGTATGATTGTTGAAGTACGTTTATTTGTATGTTACCTGTAATATCACGAGTAAGTAAATATCTATTAAATTTAAAACATTAGTTGAGAACTAGGACCTACATTTCTGTACAAGTGATAGTGGTCTGTATCAATCCTTAAGGAAGAAATATATTAATGTGATATCTTAATGTGAACTAGACTTTACATTATTTTCTCCTATTAATTTAAAATAACAGATCTAATGAAAGAACACGTTACAAAAATTGCCAGTAGAGTTCAGTGTTTCACTTCATTAATTTCACTGCCATTACCAGAAACTTGAAAAATAAAATCTTTTCATACTGTTCTATAAAAATGCACTTTAAAATAAAAACAAAACAAAAACACTGAATAAAGTTAGACACATTTCACCTTGTGTACAGTGATGGAAGTAAAATTTTGATGTAAATGTTAAGGTTCAAACCTTAGCCTAGACAACAGATTGTGAAGAAGCTCTATTCCCATAATAAACGTAAAGTCTCAAGTTTTACTTCAAAGGAAAACTTGTGTATCTTTAACAGTTAAATTTGTCAAAATTATTAGATTTTCTTTAAATAAAGTAGAGAAGAAACATAAAAACCAAGGAAGATTACAGAAGGCCATCTAGCTAATTGAGGTCGAACATTGTCACTTTTCATATAACTAGAATTAAAGATCACTAACTAAAGCCAAATGAAGCTTCTCACATTCATATTATTATAACATAACGTTTTGGGACAACATGGGACCTATTGGTCCATCCCGGCTGTTCCATCCTCTAAACTGAATTAAAATGATTAAAAAAAAGAAATCTTAAAGCCAGCCCTTTTTATTCATATACTTATCAAGCTTTTTCTTAAACTCGCTTAAATTTACTGCTTCTACAACATCTGAAGGCAACCCATTCCAAAGGCCAACCACCCAGTTAGGAAAATGAAACCGTCTTAGCTGAAGATGACTCCTATCTTGCCCAAATTTATATTTGTGGTCCCTAGTTCTACTATTCTCATTGTTAAATATAAAAAAGATGATACATCAACACTATCAATTGTCTTTACAATCTTAAACACCTCAATCAGAACCCCCCACTAACTCTTCTTTTTTCAAGAGAAAACAAATTGAGATTTCAGCCTCTTCTTGTATGACAACCCCTCCATCCCAAGCACCATTCTAGTAACCCTTCTCTGAAACCTTTCCAACAGTTCAATGTCTTTCCTAAGGTAAGGAGCCCAAGGCTGAACACAATATT